TTTTAATAATTTCTTTGTTAAAAGTTCTAAAGATTTCAGGAAAGATAAATCATGGTCAATGCAGAAAAAGTCGAAGTGTAGTTAATATATAGAAATGCTCTTTCAATTTAGTTTATACTGAAATTTTTTGTTAGAGTTTAACAGAGCACTTTGATACCTGTTGACTTTACTTCAACTTTTGCTTTGCTGACTACGACGTATTTTTCTTGAAATCTTTAGAACTTTGGACAATGGAGTTATTGAAGAATATACAAATAAAATGATGGCATCATTCATTAGTTGATTAATGATTAATTAAAAATAAAATATGTCAAACATTTTGTTGCATGACAAATTGATTATTTTGTGTGACAATAGACAATGTGTAGACGATTACTATCGCCTCTTTTTATTTCAATGAAAATGTTCAATGTGATTAGAAAGTTCAAGACTGTACACAAGTTGTAATTATAGATTTTGAACATCTCTGTATTGATGACACCTCTTCAGTCATCACAATGTGTTTTGTGCGAAATGATCGCCAAAACTCTGTTATTAGCAGAAAAAGCAACAAGTACTTGAAACAAAAATGCTTCGAGTTAAACAGAATAATAGGATAAAAACTATGCCAAGACAAAATCGAATGAATTTCAGTATCAGAGACAATATAGAGTAAAATTCACAAATAACCTTGCTGCGTCAACCGTCTACTTTTGCTTCAATTCGTGCTCCAATCACCATGGGCACGCAGCCCTATTACAAGATAGCTGATCTCCTTACCTTCTTCACCCACACCATCAACATCATACCTATGCTTCATCAGAATTTTCACCCTCAATACTCTTCGCCTTATTTTCATCCATTGGTTATCTACTATGAATGTATATCGTCTATCAAACAAGTCAAAAAAGCTGTGTTATACTAACTATGTCACAATAATTAAATTTGCTGATCAAAAAGTAACTTTCTCAAAATAACATTGTAATGCTAAACATTTTAAATGTACATATCAAAATATTGTGAATGAAAAAGTGGTCTTTTTTTCACATTTGATGGTAATTTTATGACCTCTGAAAATTTATTAAAATCAATTTTTCAATGTGGATATTCTCAGAGAATTAAAATGTTTCAAATTGTGAATTATTTGAGTTGGTTTGGAATTGAAAATAATAATGTGTAAATTTCATGTTTCTTATAAGAAAATCATTTTTCATTATTGTTTTGCAGAAAATACAAACTATTGTTGATTTTTCTTCAATAGAAAAAATTGTGTTTATTCCTAACTACGCATTTTTTTCATATGAAATACATTCTTTTCATAATATTAATTTTTCGTTCATATTGATTCTATTGAACATATAGGACTAATATAGATGAATTGGTCGCCTACTCTAAAATATTACAATTCTATATGCCAGTTTCTATAGTGACCTCTCTTCATTAGCAATATATATAGAACATTGTTCGTAAATTTCCAGTTAAAGCACACACAAACCAACATTATCTTTCATTGTTTCTTGCTATTCAATTTCTTCATTTCTAATGAATCATAATTATCTCGAATTAGAGAAAGATAGGAATGAAATCAATGGAGAAAATACTTGTAAAAGTGAATGTTATGACCTAATTATAGGATTTGAATGTGCCTCATGAGTGGTACAAATGTTAACAAAAGAACAAATAGACTCGCTTGAACAGTGTAAAATATTTGATAAAATATTTTAGTTTCTCACGATAAGAATATTCCTAAAGTAGATAAAATGAAAAGTATTGCCACACATCTTAATGTTTCGGACTATTATTTTTAAGTAAGAAAATCTTTTTTCTTTTTTAGTTAATGTTCATATTACATTTTTTGTTTAGACATCGTTCAAATATTATTTCTTCAACGAAAAAACTGCTACTTTTCTTCGCTAACGTTACTTCTTACCTATGATAGCTTAAAAGAAAATATATCGTTCGAATATGTTTGAGCTATTTAATTGAACTCTTGTTTAGTTATGTAAAAAGATGTTGTCCTCGTTAAAAAAAAAGTCTAATAAAGAAAATTCGAAATATGTTGTATTAGTGTGACAATACAAAAGAAAGAGAATATAAAGACAACAGCAAGCTTCTAGAAAATAAAAGTATTTCACAATCTTGTCTATAGTTTTTTTTTTCTATAGATGAATAGAATTCACATTTCGAATTATTTTTAATAAACTAAATTTCAATGAGTTGACACTACTACGATGAAATTAGTTCATTTTTCTTGATTTTTAAAAGTTTTTTTTTAGAAATTTTCATTGCAAAACGACTTTCGCATCTTTCTAATCGTATTTCTCCTGATTTCAATGAGATAAATGATATTTTTAAAAAAATGATAAATCCCATATTGAAGAGGAATAGGAAAGGTTGTCTAGAAAGTAGAGAAGGGATATTAACAATGAAAATAATTGAATTTGTCAGTTAAAAGAAAGCAGCTTTATTTGCTCATGAATGAATTCATGTTTATTTATTTGATTCAACAATAACTCCAACATCATCTATTGCATTTTCCATTCCAAAAAAAAATTAAAATGACAAGCTGATATAATGGTAACAGCAAGGCATAACCCAAAAGATGATCATGATTATAAAGTTTATTCGAAAAATGATGTGCACATATTGCTGATTCTATTGAAGCTAATGTAGAATCGTGGAAGGAAAAGCATGAAATTTAGATATACTCAAAGATAACAACTCCAAATTAGTTTCTGATCCTGTTGAAAAGGTGACACCTTTATTTGAGAGAAAAAATTCTTTATTTGAATATATATTCAATGCGTCAACACCATTAAAATTTGTTTATACTCCTGTTCATGGTATTGGTCAATCACATGTTGAACGAGCATTTGTTGCATTTAAATTTCAACCATTTATTTTAGTTGATGAACAAAAACAATCTTGGTTAGTAATTTTCCCACAGTCAGATCCAGAAGAAGAAAAAGAAACACTTGAATGTGCTATTGCAATAGCAAATAAAAATAATGTAGATTTTATTATACCTACTGATTCAGATGTTGATTGATATGCATTAACTGACAGAGATATCACTGGATCAACATAAACTGGTTGAAGAATTTTAACTGGAAATCAATTAGGAGCTTTACTTTTATTTAAGTAAAGAATTATTATTTTCTTTTGTTAAATAGATTGGTAGCTTTGGTTTACTTGGCGTAATCGAAATCCAACAGTTAATGTTAAAGATGCTTATATGGCTTAGTTAAAGATTTTAATACAATTGATACATTAACAAGTTTTAAATGGCTCGAAAATACAAAGTTTTCTTTAGTGGATTTATGTTCTTCTAGGAAAATACACTAGTTCATCGTAGTGATTCTCATTTGGATGCTGATGAAAATCAACCACAAGATTCTAAAGATGAAGAATATGTTCGTCCAAAAACATGAGCTAATTATCATATAACTGATGTTAGAGATTTGACTATTGAAATTGCAGCTGATTTTTGTGGTGAAAGTGAATATAAAAAAACTAACACTTCCTTGTTCAGCATCAACACAAATGATAATATTTTATTTTGATAATGTTTGTGAAATAACAATACGTGTAAGTAGAACTGAACCAACAATTAAATAGTATTCAGAAATAAGAAAATACATAAACAAAAACAGAAGATGATCTGATGATTGATGATGAAGAATTTAGATAGGCAACTAAACAAGAACTTGATCAATTAGTCGAAGCTATTGTTGAAGAATTTTTATTATCGAAAGAAATGGCTTTATTGGAAAAGAAACAACAGCTAAATGAATAGGAAACCTTTTTTGAATGACATACGAGCAATTTTAACGATTCCGAGAATATCAATCATTCAAATTAGAAAATGTTTTTTTAGTACTCAAAAATAAAATATATCGTCTGATGCTCATCATCAGTAATAATAAAGAAATAATCTGTTCCACTGGAAAATCTTAATTATTTAAAGAGAATAGAAGTTCATACTAAGTGTCATATTCTATTCATATACGCAAGTTAATTGTGAACAAACGAAAAACTACAAGTTGTAGAGTTAGATCACGATATACCAATCACTAAAATAGTTCAACTACTATTTTCGTCAATTATATTATCCCTTTTTTAGAAAATATATTGCTGAATACGAAGTGTTTCTAGGAATAGAACTGTTGTAAATTAGTTCTAATATCCTGGTCTGAGAGTTTAGTATTGTTAATGTGAAGAATTGGTATTAGCTATAGAATATCTGTATTAATTGTTGTATTCACATTGAAAAGTTCGGAAAAATAT